ACTGAAAGATACGCTAATTAACAATTGTATACAACTTTACGCTATCTCCGTGTAATGTAATTAGTTCTAAATTGCAAATTCTAAGGTTAACAAAGAAAAAAATCAACAAAATGAACCGTTTTATTACAAAATTTTATTATCCGTTGTGGATATGTTCGAGAATGTGTCTGATAAGGTTTGTCGTGTGACTGAAACGAATTAAATATGAACCCAATTTACTTTTGAAAACGTGAAAAATTCTAGAAAAATAGAAGAAATTAACTTAGTTATTATTTATTTTTTAAATTATCTTTAAAATACTTATGGCAAATTAAAAATTATACAAATAAAAATACTTTTAAGCAGTGGCGGAGCTACAATTATTTGTAATCGAGGCGTCTTTTCATAAATAATTTCTAAAATATTGAAGTTTTGAAATAGTGACGAAACAAAGGTTCCAATATCAACTTTAAACAAATAGGAATTCAACTTTTATACTCTATAACTTTGACAGCTGTTAAAATGTATAAATTTTGTTTACAAAAGATACAAAAAATTTACAAAAAAATACAAAAAATAAAAAAAATTAAAAAAAGATACAAAAATACAAAAAAAAAACAACACAAAAAACAAAAAAAACAAAAAAAAATAAAAACAAATAAAAAACAAAATTTATTTTATTTATTTTTATTTACTTTTGTTTCTAATTGTTTTTATTTATTTTTATTGATTTATTTTTATATATAACTCTTCTAGCACATCGTTAACAATAATATCCGAATAAACTTCATTGTTAACGACGTGCTCAAAGAGTACATCGCAATCTATTATACAGAGTGTCCCAAAAAAAAATATTCACCTTTTTGAAAAAACAAAACTTTTTGGGACACGCTGTGTTAATGGGTTGACGATTTAATTTAATTAAAATTTAATGTTGTATTATGGATTTCCAAGTGATGCAGAATATTTTATCAAAAATAAATGTTTTTCTTTTGAAGAACATAAAATTTTTTTTAAAGTGAACAATTTTCTGGGACACTGTATAATAGATTGCAACGTGCTCTTCGAGCACGTCGTTAACAACGAAGTGTACTCAAATATTGTGGTAATCTATTATACAGAGTGTCCCAAAAATTATTCACTTTAGAAAAAGTTTTGTTCTTCAAAAGAAAAACATTTATTCTTGATAAAATATTCTGCATCACTTGGAAATCCATAATACAACATTAAATTTTTTGAAAAAACAAAAAGTGAACAATTTTTTGAAACATTGTATAATAGATTGCGACGTGCTCTTCGAGCACGTCGTCAACAACGAAGTGTACTCAAATATTATGGTTAACGACGTGCTCGAAGAGTACGTCGCAATCTATTATACAAAGTGTCCCAAAAAATTATCTTTTTGAAGAACAAACATTTTTTTCAAATGTATAAATTTTTTTGGGACACTATATAATAGATTGCGACGTGCTCTTTGAGCACGTCGTTAATAATGAAGGGTATTCAGATATTGTTGTTAACGACGTACACAATGTGTTCCAAATATTTTTTTATACCCGTGAAAAACGTTTGTTTTGTCAAAAAATTTAATGTTGTATTATGGATTTCCAAGTGATGCAAAATATTTTATCAAAAATAAATGTTTTTCTTTTGAAGAACATAAAATTTTTTTTAAAGTGAACAATTTTCTGGGACACTGTATAATAGATTGCAACGTGCTCTTCGAGCACGTCGTTAACAACGAAGTGTACTCAAATATTGTGGTAATCTATTATACAGAGTGTCCCAAAAATTATTCACTTTAGAAAAAGTTTTGTTCTTCAAAAGAAAAACATTTATTCTTGATAAAATATTCTGCATCACTTGGAAATCCATAATACAACATTAAATTTTTTGAAAAAACAAAAAGTGAACAATTTTTTGAAACATTGTATAATAGATTGCGACGTGCTCTTCGAGCACGTCGTCAACAACGAAGTGTACTCAAATATTATGGTTAACGACGTGCTCGAAGAGTACGTCGCAATCTATTATACAAAGTGTCCCAAAAAATTATCTTTTTGAAGAACAAACATTTTTTTCAAATGTATAAATTTTTTTGGGAGACTATATAATAGATTGCGACGTGCTCTTTGAGCACGTCGTTAATAATGAAGGGTATTCAGATATTGTTGTTAACGACGTACACAATGTGTTCCAAATATTTTTTTATACCCGTGAAAAACGTTTGTTTTGTCAAAAAATTTAATGTTGTATTATGGATTTCCAAGTGATGCAGAATATTTTATCAAAAATAAATGTTTTTCTTTTGAAGAACATAAAATTTTTTTTAAAGTGAACAATTTTCTGGGACACTGTATAATAGATTGCAACGTGCTCTTCGAGCACGTCGTTAACAACGAAGTGTACTCAAATATTGTGGTAATCTATTATACAGAGTGTCCCAAAAATTATTCACTTTAGAAAAAGTTTTGTTCTTCAAAAGAAAAACATTTATTCTTGATAAAATATTCTGCATCACTTGGAAATCCATAATACAACATTAAATTTTTTGAAAAAACAAAAAGTGAACAATTTTTTGAAACATTGTATAATAGATTGCGACGTGCTCTTCGAGCACGTCGTCAACAACGAAGTGTACTCAAATATTATGGTTAACGACGTGCTCGAAGAGTACGTCGCAATCTATTATACAAAGTGTCCCAAAAAATTATCTTTTTGAAGAACAAACATTTTTTTCAAATGTATACATTTTTTTGGGACACTATATAATAGATTGCGACGTGCTCTTTGAGCACGTCGTTAACAATGAAGGGTATTCGGATATTGTTGTTAACGACGTGCTCGAAGAGCACGTCGCAACCCATTACACAATGTGTTCCAAATATTTTTTTATACCCGTGAAAAACGTTTGTTTTGTCAAAAAATTTAATGTTGTATTATGGATTTCCAAGTGATGCAGAATATTTTATCAAAAATAAATGTTTTTCTTTTGAAGAACATAAAATTTTTTTTAAAGTGAACAATTTTCTGGGACACTGTATAATAGATTGCAACGTGCTCTTCGAGCACGTCGTTAACAACGAAGTGTACTCAAATATTGTGGTAATCTATTATACAGAGTGTCCCAAAAATTATTCACTTTAGAAAAAGTTTTGTTCTTCAAAAGAAAAACATTTATTCTTGATAAAATATTCTGCATCACTTGGAAATCCATAATACAACATTAAATTTTTTGAAAAAACAAAAAGTGAACAATTTTTTGAAACATTGTATAATAGATTGCGACGTGCTCTTCGAGCACGTCGTCAACAACGAAGTGTACTCAAATATTATGGTTAACGACGTGCTCGAAGAGTACGTCGCAATCTATTATACAAAGTGTCCCAAAAAATTATCTTTTTGAAGAACAAACATTTTTTTCAAATGTATACATTTTTTTGGGACACTATATAATAGATTGCGACGTGCTCTTTGAGCACGTCGTTAACAATGAAGGGTATTCGGATATTGTTGTTAACGACGTGCTCGAAGAGCACGTCGCAACCCATTACACAATGTGTTCCAAATATTTTTTTATACCCGTGAAAAACGTTTGTTTTGTCAAAAAATTTAATGTTGTATTATGGATTTCCAAGTGATGCAGAATATTTTATCAAAAATAAATGTTTTTCTTTTGAAGAACATAAAATTTTTTTTAAAGTGAACAATTTTCTGGGACACTGTATAATAGATTGCAACGTGCTCTTCGAGCACGTCGTTAACAACGAAGTGTACTCAAATATTGTGGTAATCTATTATACAGAGTGTCCCAAAAATTATTCACTTTAGAAAAAGTTTTGTTCTTCAAAAGAAAAACATTTATTCTTGATAAAATATTCTGCATCACTTGGAAATCCATAATACAACATTAAATTTTTTGAAACAACAAAACTTTTTCTCGGGTATAAAAATTTTTTTGGAACACACTGTGTAATGGATTGCAACGTTTTGTTTTTTCAAAAAATTTAATGTTGTATTATGGATTTCCAAGTGATATAGAATATTTTATCAAGAATAAATGATTTACTTTTGAAGAGCATGAAACTTTTTTAAAGTGAACAATTTTTTGAGACATTGTATAATAGATTGCGACGTGCTCTCCGAGCACGTCGTTAACAACGATGTGTATTCAAATATTATGGTTAACGACGTGCTCGAAGAGCACGTCGCAATCTATTATCTAGTGTCCCAAAAAAATATACACCTGAAAAAATGTTTGTTCTTCAAAAAATACCATTTATTTTTAATAAAACAAAAATCAAACAAAAACACCAAAAAACACCAAAAAAACACCAAAATAACACTAAAAAACATCAAAAAACAAAAAATACATCTAAAAACAAAATTTAGCTTATATGATCCGCGTTTAAATTTCCGAATCTATATATATACTCGTATACTGTTATTTACTATCAAATTTAATTGTTCATTTGAAGAGTACACAATTTTTATTCATTTAACAATTTTTTATAGTTATTTAAAAGATATCCTTTTGTACACTATATAAGTACTAAATTAACTACCGAATTTCCTATTTTGTAAAATATTTTGTGTATTATTTTTGTAACAAAAAAAGAAAAACAAACAAAAAACAGACAAAAAAACAAAAACACCAAAAAACAACGAAAACAAAAAAAAACAAAAAAAAATAACTGCCGAATTTCGTATTTTGTAAAATATTTTGTGGTAGATTTTGATAACAAAAAAAAAGAAATACAAAAACACCAAAAGAAAAACAAAAAATAAGAAAAAACAAAAAAAATAACTGCCGAATTTCGTATTTTGTAAAATATTTTGTGGTAGATTTTGATAACAAAAAAAAAAAAAAAACACAAAAAACAACAAAAAACAACAAAAAAAAAACAAAATTTATTTTATTAATTTTTTATCAAATTTAATTGTTTATTTGTAAAGTACACGAATTTTATTCACTTAACAATTTTTTGTAGTCATTTAAAAAAAATCCGTTTGTTTTCCAGGCGGCACATTAAAAATCTACGGAGAAGCCTTGTGCAAGGACGTCCCTTATAAGACTCTGTTGTTGTCAGTGCGCGATTGTGCGGGAACTGTAGTGCGACAAATGTTGGACAAATACGGGCTTACTAAAACGGATCCGACCCAATGGTGCCTCGTCCAGGTTACGCAACAACCTGGATGTACCGATACGGAATATATCCTCGATGACGACGAATGTCCTTTGAACATCCTGATGACTTCAGCGAATACCGGTAAGTCCACTTAAATGTTAAATAAATTATTCATTATCAGCAAGTTGTATTCATCAATTCGAGAATGTTGAATACATCAGTTTAAAAATGTTGAATACATTAATATAAGAGGGTTTAATACATTAATTTAAAAACTTATATTGCATTAATTCAAGAGCGTTGAATATATTAATTTAATATTGTTTAATACATCAATGTAAATACTTTGAATGAATTAATTTAATATCGTTTAATGCATTAATTTTTTGAATGCATTAATTCAGTAGAGATAAATACATACATTTAATATTGTTTAATAAATTAATTTTAAAACTTTTGAATGCATTAATTCAAGAGTGTTGAATATATTAATTTAATATTGTTTAATACATCAATTTAAAAACTTTGAACGCATTATTAATGTAAGAGCTTGGTAAGCATGAATTTTATATCATTCAATACATTAATTTAAAAACTCTGAATGCATTAATTTAAGAGCGTTGAATACATGATTTTAATATTGTTTAATGCATCATTTCAAATACTGTGAATGCATTATTAATACAAGAGTTTTGAGTGGCCCAATTTAGTGTCGTTTAATGCATTAATTTTAAAATTTTGAAGGGGTTATTAATTCAAGAGTTTGAAATGCGTGAATTTAATATCTTTTAATACATAAATTTCAAAATTTGGAATACATTAATTCGACAGCGTTGAATATATCAAATTAAAAACTATGAATCCATTAACTCTTTCAGTTCTACTTTCATTAAAACAAGATCACTGAAGTAGACTTCTTCCTCTTCAGGGACACCATTTTTTGTAGCACTAAATGAATGAATTTTGACACTTTTTATTTGTAATTTAAAAAATATGCAAATAAAGTAAATAAATAAAAAAAATTAATTTTGTTACCAAAATTAACAGATGCATACTTCAGGGTTACTCAAGACAGTGTCCCTCAGGAGGGACAAATACACTGAAAGGGTTAATTTAAAAACTTTGAATACATTAATTCAAGACCATTGAATACATGAATACATCGATTTAAAAACTTTAAATGCATTTATAATTCAAAAGCTTAGAATGCATGGATTTAATAGCTTTTAATGCATTAATTTCAAAACTTTGAATGCATTAATTTAAAACTGGTGAATACATCAATTTAATATCATTGACTGCATCAAATTAATACTTTAAATACATGAATTTAATATCAATACATTAATTTTAAAACTTTCAGTGTATTAATTCAAGAGCGTTGAATATATCAAATAAAATACTTTGTATCAATTAATTTAAAACCGTTAGTTTAAACTTTGAACGCATTAATACATGAATGTAATAGTGTTTAATACATTAATTTAAAAAACTTTAATGCATTATTAATTCAAGAGCGTTTAATATATTAAATTAAAAACTTTGAATGCATTAATTCAAACCTGTTAAATGCATCAATTTAATATCGTTTAATACATTAATTTAAAAACTTAGAATGTAATAATTTAAGAGCATTGAATAATGAATTTAATATTATTAATACATCAATTAAAAACTTTGAGTGTATTCATAATCCAAAAGCTTTGAATGTATTCATAATTCAAAAGCTTTAAATGCATGAATTTAATATATTTTAATACATTTCAAAACTTTGAATGCATTAATTCAAAACTGGTAAATACATCAATTTAATATCATTGACTGCATCAAATAAAAACTTTAAATACATGAATTTAATATCTTTTAATACATTAATTTTAAAACTTTCAGTGTATTAATTCAAGAGCGTTGAATATATCAAATAAAATACTTTGAATCAATTAATTTAAAACCGTTAGTTTAAACTTTGAACGCATTAATACATGAATGTAATATTGTTGAATATACATCAATTTAAAAAACTTTAATGCATTATCAATTCAAGAGCGTTTAATAATTCAAGAGCATTGAATAATGAATTTAATATTATTAATACATCAATTAAAAACTTTGAATGTATTCATCAAAAGCTTTGAATGCATGAATTTAATATCTTTTAATGCATTAATTTCAAAACTTAGAATGCATTAATTCAAAACTGGTGAATACATCAATTTAATATCGTTGATTGCATTAATTTAATATTGTTGATTGCATTAATTTAAAACTTGAAATACATGAATTTAATATCGTTTATTGCATTAATTTTAAAACTTTCAATATATGAATTCAAGAGCATTAATTCAATACATTAATTTAAAAACTTAGAATGTAATAATTTAAAAGCATTGAATAATGAATTTAATATTATTAATACATCAATTAAAAACTTTGAATGTATTCATAATTCAAAAGCTTTGAATGCATGAATTTAATATATTTTAATACATTTCAAAATTTTGAATGCATGAATTTAATATCGGTTAATACATTAATTTAAAAACTTTGATTGTGTTAATTTAAGAGCATTGAATACATGAATTTAATATTGTTTAATACATTAATTTAAAAACTTTAAATGCATTATTAAGTCAAGAGCTTTGACTGCATGAAATTAATATACTTTGATACATTAATTTCAAAACTTTGAATGCATTAATTCAATAGCGTTGAATATGGCAAATTGAAAACTTTGAATACATTAATTCAAGAGCGTTGAATATGTCAAATTAAAAACTTTGAATACATCAATTTAAGAACGTTTAATGCATCATTTCAAAAGAGTTGATTGCATCAACTTAAATACGTAATAGTATTTAAAAAATCAATTTAAAAACTTTAAATGTATGAATTTAATATCTTTTAATACATTTCAGAACTTTAAATACATTCAAAAGTGTTGAATACATCAATTTAATATCCTTGACTGCATCAATTTAAAACTTTCAATGCATGAATTTAATATCAGTTAATACATTAAATTAAAAACTTTGATTGTTTTAAATCAAGAGCGTTGAATACATAAATTTAAAAAATTTGAATGTATTATTAATTTAAGAGCTTTGAATGCATGAATTTAATTTCGTTTAATGCATTAATTTAAGAGCGTTAAATAATATCAAATTAGAAACTTTGAATGCATTAATTTGATGCCGTTGAATGCATCAATTTAACAGCTGAATGCATTAATTTAAAAACATTGAATACATTATTTCAAGAGCGTTGATTGAATCAATTTAATAGCATTGAATCGCATTGAATGCATCAATTTAAAATTTATTTGAATTACAAGCCAGAAGTCTTATTGGTGCTTGCTGACAGCGGTCTCTATCTCTGTTATGTGCATGTTCCTATTAAACTTTGTTAAATTTTCTGAGGCATAACATCCATGTTGAAATATTCCGTACCTGTATATTATTTAGTTTAGAAAATTTATTTAATAATAATAATTGTGAATTTATTTAACAAAAAAAGTTAAAAATTTTTACATTTTTTTTAAAATAGCGTCTTAAATTTATAATAACTTAAAAAATTAAATTATTTTTCTTTAAAAAGGGAAAAATATGTAGGTATAAAAATTCTTTTTTTTTTTTAATTGACTACTGTTATTTATTTTTATATAACATCATCACTGTGGAAGATTATTTTAAGAAAATTGTGTAATTTAATTATAAATTGACCATCATCAACTGAAGAAAGTTGAATATATCAATTTAAAAACGTTGAATTGCAATATTTGTTTGAATTTTTGCCGAATTATTGACATATTAAATCAAAACTTTCAAAATTAATTAGGAAAATTCCTAAAAAAAGCACATTTTTCGATTTGTTTTCTTAGTTGTGGATTTATTTTTAGTTAAAAAATTATTTTTTTTACGAATTTGTGTAAAGAAGTTACTTTTTTCGAATTTTTATAAAAAGAAACATAATAATTAACGGTTTTTTGGAACAAATTTATGTAGAAAATATCAACATTTTGCAAATGATTTTTTTGTTGCTAAAACAAAAATTATATAGTTTTTTAAACTACATTTATATTAATAATGTGGAATAATAAATACATCAACAAAAATTAATACTTCAAATCAACCTAAATTTATGGTAGAAATTTTATTATTTTATGTTTTTTAAATATTATTTTCACATTGTATACACAGAAACTTTTTTTTAAAAAATGGTTTCTTCATAACAAAGTGCGCATAAAAAACTTTATTCGAAGTTTATAAAATCCCATTTAAAAAATAGTGAAATCCAAACCCGTACTGCCATCTATACGCCAACAACAAACTTCGAACCTCATGAATTCGATTTTCTACACATCGACGTAGTAAAATATCTGTATTAGTCGCGAGATGGCGTTGCGTGTTTGATATATGGATTAAAATTATATTCATAGGAACGAGAAATAAATTACTATGCTTTTATATATTATTAATGAATGTGAGAATAGGAAATGAGATTCAATTAACAACAAAATTAAATTAAGATTATTTGGAGCTCATAATTGGATTTAGTCCTTACTAGTAATTCATAATAATTAATTGATTAATTAATGTTTCATCTGCATAATATTATTCCAAGAACTTGTGGGAGAGTAAATTGCAAATTGCTTGGTAGATTCTTAGAATAATAATAATACACCATAGAATTCTCGCTTATCAAACATTTTTATTTCATCATTTCGATATTTTCATAAAAAGTTTGTTCAAATATTTAAATGTTGATAAATTTATAGGAAGCTGATGCTGCATGTTTAGTAAAAGTAGATTTCCTAGTTGACGGTATAGATAAGGAATTTATTTATATAGGTAGTGGGCTTTTAAAAAAATAGAACTCAGTTTAGAATCATTTGTTGACGATGCTGACATTGTCAGCGAAATATTTCTTTGTTTTGGTGCGGTATTGTATGGAAATAGAAATATTTTAAGAATATATAACCTGACCAATATTTAATTAATAATAATAAGAAAAAAATGTTCGTAGATAAACTGTTTGCGCTGTATTAAAAATTACTGATATGATGATTTTTTATACAACTTTATATATATAAAATGTTTTTATAATAATATTAATAAAATTTAAAAAATAGTATGAATTTTTGA